TATATATATATATATATATCATTATTGTGATGGGGGGCCCTGCAGTAAGTCATAGCCCCAGGGCCCAGTGAGGTCTTAATGCGACTATTTACGTATTTACACCTACACTGTAAAAAATAAAGATTATTGAGTATGTTATACAAGATGTTATTCAGTCTTCCTACTTCAAAATTTCATGTTTAATTTAATGTGTTGCTTGCCGTTTCTTGGTAATTAATCTAATTGTGTTACATGTGTAAAAAAAAAAAAAAAAAAGAAGATATTATTAACAATAACTGCATGTTTTATTGCAAGTATTAGTAATGTTTTTTTTTTTGCCAATAATAATAAAGATATAACAGAAATATATTCATTAATATTATCAATAATCATAATAACAATAATAAATATATTTATTTATTTAAAAATGAGAGCATGCATTACTCAAATTTTCTCAATTACAGCAGAATTATATGCAAAATCAATCTGTAAACAACCTCTCACTGATCAAAGAAATATAAAACGTCAGATGTTTAAGAATTAAGTCTTAAAAATGTGAGTTATATTAGCATAATCTTAATTAAAATGCTCAAAAACAATTAAATTGGGATTATTTTTGTATTTATTGCAACAGAAGTAAATATCATCTTCAAATTTGGACTTGGACGAATTTGTGGTCAAAAAGGTTGAGAACCTCTGCTCTACACTTAACATTTAGCTTAACTTAAAAGCAAAGAAACAACATCTAACTGAACAAAGCACAAAACAGCAGATGTATTCAAAATGTACGGAAAAGTGTTTAATGCAGGGGTATTATTCAAACCTGTTTCTGGAGAGCCATGAGTTCAGCTACACACTTGCCTGGAAGTTTCCGAACGAGTCTGAAGAGCTCGATTAGCTGCTTCAGGTGTGTTTAATTATGGATTGGGACACCCTGGTTTAGCGCAGTTTGAGCAATGATATGTTTCTTCCTGTGTGGATGTCACATGGCATAACTTTTGAGAGTAAAATGTAGGTCTTTGACAATGTTTACCATGAAACAGTCACACATGAATACTTATGTTTCTGCCACATCATCAAGAACACACATTCACTAGTGACTAACCTGAGCTGTGGCGTCTACAGCAGCTGACAGGGTCAAATAGCCTACTGGAGAAAGATGTCTTGTCCTGATAATGTCTCAGCACACGTACTGTAGAACAGATGCTATGCTGTTATTGCTGAATCTGTTAATAACACATTAAATCTGGCAAACTGCTTTGTCTTTCTATTCAGGCATTTAATGTGGAGGTCAGAGGTGTGTAGTCACAAAGTTCAAATTCAAGTTATTGGGGAAAAAAAATTCTCGAGTGTAAATATATTGACTTTTTATAGATTTAATCGATCAAGATTGTTGATTGAATGAATCATTTTGCGAACCTGATCACGGAGCTGTATGCTGCTAGGTATGGAAAGCCGTTTTGACATTTAATCTATAAGCCGATCTAGTATCTATTTTCATGCTACTAGTACTTATTTAAAAAGTGGGTAGTTCCACAATTAGTTCTGGTACTATGAAAAGGTTCCCGCGGTGTGAAAGGCCCTATCAGCTATAGTGCTTATTCTTTAGGTATTAGTACCTTTTTAACAGATACTTACTTATTCATTAGATACTAGATCTTATTTATTAGATACTAGTACTCATTCATTAGATACTAGTGCCTATTAAATAGACACTAGTACTTATTTATTAGATACTAGTACTTTTTCATTAGATACTAGTACTTATTTAATAGGTAGTACTTATTCATTAGATACTGGAACTTATTAGACACTAGTACTTATTCAATAGATATTAGTACTTATTGATTAGATACTAGTACTTATTTCAATAGTGACTAGTAACTATTCTGTTGAACTGCTTTGTCTTTCTATTCAGGCATTTAATGTGGAGGTCAGAGGTGTGTAGTCACAAAGTTCAAATTCAAGTTATTGGGGAAAAAAAATTCTCGAGTGTAAATATATTGACTTTTTATACTTAACTACATTTTTTAAAAGTAAAAAAAAAAAAAAAAAGACAAAAAATAACAGCAAGAAAAGTTTTGTGGAATTGATCAAAATGAATCTTTTGATCAGTTCAGTTCGATTTAATCGATCAAGATTGTTATACAACCCAGTGCTGGGTAAAATAGGGACAAACCCAGCAATTGGGTTGTTTGGACCCAGCGGTTGGGTTACTACCCGAAATAACAGCAAGAAAAGTTTTGTGGAATTGATCAAAATGAATCTTTTGATCAGTTCAGTTCGATTTAATCGATCAAGATTGTTGACTGAATGAATCATTTTGCGAACCTGATCACGAAGCTGTATGCTGCTAGGTATGGAAAGCCGTTTTAGCATTTAATCTTTAAGCCAATCTAGTATCTATTTTCATGCTACTAGTACTTATTTTTTATATACTAGTATCTTTTCCATTAAGTACTAGTACTTATTCATTAGGGCCTTTCGCACCGCTTTAGTTCCAGAACTAAATATACAGTACTAAAGTACTGGGACGATTTTGCGCGAACTATTTCCCAGTACCATTTAAAGGGTTGCATTCGCACCGAGAGTGTGTACTAA